CATGAGCTGCCATTGGGCAACTAACGGTTGTTTGTTGTTTTTGTAAATAGCGATTTAATACGCTCATTTAACGCTTTACCCATGTGGCAGGTAGATTCTGCAGCGCTGTCAGTTAACAGCAGCTGGCTAGCGGCCGTGCAACACACAGCATCAACTCAAACAACTACTTATGCATGTGCGGCATATCGGGCAAAGCTGACGTCTAACCATTTGAGCTCCACACTTGCAAAGCAGCACCCCTTCGAACAGCCGCAACACCTTAGGCATTGAACTCGTCTCGCTTTGCTGCCATATTTCACTCAGTTGCATCAACAAGCAGGCGAAACGCGAAATGTCAACAAATTTAATAACACATAAATCTAGGCAGTGGACTTGACGCAACATCACGTATTGCACGAACAGAGTATTTGTTGGTATTGTTTTAGCTGTAAGCGCTGGACCAACACATGGCCATGCTTGGTCTGCCTAAAAGTATGCAACATGAATTCCGCCGCTATGGTAGAAATTCAGAAGTGAAATACTTGCTTGCTAGCTGTACCATATACGTGTTGCACCCCATGTTGCACGTTATTTGCACTTGTGGCAGATGTGATATGCTGTATGCTGTGTGCGCCGCTGCTGGTCCAGTAGAGTCAGCGCCGCTGCAGCCTCTGTTGCCGCCACATTTAGTGCTCATAAATTTCCAGTTGAACGCATTGATGGGCATTTTGCATTAATGAGTGGTGTGGCAGCTATGAGTGCCTTATGCCGCTACTAACAGAATGTGTGGTGAGCACAGACATGCTTACCAGCGAATATTTGCGCTGCCATATCAATATCGCAGGACATATCGGACTATATCTGCTTTTCGGAGGACATTATTTTGGGTTTGTGGCCATTTTGTTTACCAACCAAAAATATTAACACGGCTATCTACAATAAATATATGGCTGGCAAAAATAATTATTTGTAAATCTGTCTAGTATGAAATTATATAAAATGTTATAAGCAGTGCGCCGAATAGTGCTAAATAGAGCTGAATATTGCTAAATTTGTTTTTATAATAAGGCTAAGTAGCTAAATTACATATTCTTTATAGATGAATAGCGCTAAATTTATATTAACTACTGTGCAGACAAACGCGCAAAATGTGATTGAATTGAAATAAATAAAAGATTTAAATTGGTTTCTTAATCTTATAATTTAAAAAAATTTAACTTTTGAAAAAGTAGCTGAATAAAAGGTTGAATAAGTAGTATCATTTTGGTGGGAAGGGATCGTTTCAAAGTGTTCGAAGAACTTAGTAAATATTACACTCAAAAAATGCGCTTGCTAGTTTTATAGCGCTGGACACAAAAAAGTTATAATTTTATGCACAAATTGAAATGAAAGTAATAAATAAAAGTGCTGAATAGATTTTTATTGTCAGCACGTGTTATTGTTTTTCTTAATTACTTTCTGTACTGCACAAAAATTGATTAAGGAAAAGGATAGAGCAGCGCTGAATAGCTTTGTTGAAATAAAAGCGTGATATTATTTGATAAATCTGGTTCTCAGGTGGAATTTGAGTAGAGCTATGTGTAGATATTTAACATATATACCTATTTAATTAAATTCAGCGCACTATAGGATCACAATGATAAACCACTAAGAATAGGAAAAACCATTATAGAAATTTTTTATGTCAACCAATATCTAAATTCAGAGAAATTATTAAGTAACACTTGTTAAAAACGACGAAAATAATTTAAGTATCGTAAAATTCCTAGAGCAGCGCTGAATAGCTTTGTTGAAACAAAAGGGTGATATTGTTTGATAAATTTGGTCATCAGATTGCATTCGAGTAGAAATATGAGCAGATGGTAAGCCTATAAGCTTATCCAATGTAATTCAGCGCACTCTAGAATAAAATTTATAAGCCATTAATAATTAGAAAAACAAGTATTGAAATTTTTTATGTAAACCATTTTCTGTATTCAGAGAATTGGTCGCGCTTCCACTGAATATCTTCAGATAGGCCAAATACTATGGATATTTGCCCTTATACATAATATGTCATTAAAAGAACTGTTGCTGAATTGAGCTAAACTTGTTAAAAATGACGCAAATCATTTGAGTAGGGTTTCAAAAAATCATATTTTATGTTATATTGCAATAAAAAATCAGCTGAATTACTTTTTTTTGAGTATTCGTAAATTTGAGTGCATTTAAAAAAATTTTGTTACTGAAATATAAAATTCAAAATATATTTTGATTGACAAAAAGCACATCGGGGAAAAGTTTTTGATGGACTATTTGTTAGTAGGAATTCCTTAAGGAAAATATTAGCGCTGAATTCATTTTAAATATGCTGAATAGCGCGAAAATTTGGGTTTGAATTTAGATTTAAATTTAGATTTAAAGGGCCAAAGGGCAAATAGATATTTGTGAATTTTTTTAATTGAAGGTATATACATATATGTATTATACATGCAGGGCACTGATATATGTATCTTTATACTTTTTCCTATCGATTTTTTAGGAGCAGCCATTTTTGTAATACATTTCACATATATATATATATATATTGAGTTTAAATATGGTCACACAACTGTATAGAAATTTCTAAAAATTTCTATGTAATTAAGTTATTTAATTTCAATTTAAAAATAAATAGAATTTAATTTACTTTTTTAATTCGATTTGCGCTAATACGGCTTATCAAAATTCACCGCCAAAGGCTAACGCACATACATATATATGTGTGGATTACATGGGCGCTCACAACTGAAAAAGGCGCGGGGATTTCACGCTTGGGGCAAATACAATTTCCATTTATATTTCTGGTTAAAATGCTAATGCGAAAAGTGGCAGCTGTAATTTGGTGATTTGAGCAATTTATAAAAATATAGAAAGTAAATCTAGAGCTTTAACGCGAATGTTAAATTTGTGGAAATTTTCTCAAACTGATGCCCGAAAATTTATTTTAAGAGGTCTAAGGACTTGAAAAGTGTTAAGAAAAAGTTCTTGTATGATAACCAAATATACTAGCGGTGCTGTATTGCGCTGAATATATAAAAAGTTCTGCTAGAATATTGCCGCACAGAATTAGTTGTTACTTAAAAAGCTGTGAACTTGTTAAGCGGCCAATTGCAAATTTGTTCAGTCTTCGATAAAATTTTATATTTGTATAGCTAAAATTAATGAAGTTGGATCGGTACTTCTCCTAGCACCGTATATAGTATATTACTTCCTTCCTAGGCACTAGGCCGTGTGCCCTCTTGTATATAGTGTGTACATTGGTTTATTGTGGTGAAAGAATAAAAGCAGTTATGGCTTACTGTTAATATAGCTTATTGAAAACTGTTCTATGAAATATGCATATACTTCGTACAACATAAAGTGCGCTGAATTATATATATAGCAGCTGAATTGTTTAGAAATTGAATGAAGTGCATGCTTGCGGCGTAAATATCGCTTGTATATTGGAATAAGAAGCGTTGAATACCATTCGAAAGTTTTTTTTTTTTTTTTTTGTGATAATCTCAAATTGATAAACAGCTAGTTTATCGTCTTAAATATTAAAATATATATAACATACTTGTCATTATTGTTTGTATTCATATTAATTTTCATTCGCGTACTTTCGTATACTGTGTCGTTGTAAAGAATTTCACAACCTTTTTGCTGCGCTGAATTGGCTGGCTTACTGTTAAGAAAGCTTATCGAAAATTTTTATTAGGAATATACATAAATTTCGTAAAACATAAAGTGCGTTGAATTATATTTAGAAATGCTGAATTGCTTAAAAATTAATAGGATTCCTGTAACTTAAATATCTCTCATATGTGGAGATTAGATACGCTGAATACCAGTTTACCTTTTTTTGTAATCTCAAGTTGGTGAAAAGCAGTTTTATGCTACCAAATAATATTTTATAGTTGTTATTATTATTTCGACTCCTATTAAGTTCCAGTTACGGACTTTCGTGTATAGTGTCCGTATAAATAACGTCAGAAAATCAACAACCAACTTTTTACTGCGCTGAATTTAAAAGTATAATGCTTACGGCTGGCTTGGTGTTAATAAAGCTTATCGAAAACTTTTCTTTGAAATATGCATACACTACGTGTGCGCTGAATTATATTTATAACAGCTGAATTGCTTAGAAATTAAATGGAGTGCATCTTTGTAGCTTAAATATCACGCTTATGTTGAGAAAAGAAGCGCTGTATACCATTTTAAAGTTTTTTTGATAATCTCAAGTTGTTAAAAACTATTTTGCTCTGCAAGCGTTTATTGTCAGTTAGTTTTAGTTTCAAGTACAAATTTTATTCTCAAGCACTGGCATTAGTTTTCAAATGCAGCTATTCAGCACACTATTTGCTGAAAAATATGCAGGCGTGTGCAAAAACTTCTAAAATTTAACAAGAATCCACTAAATGACACTAAGTCCAGCACTAGCTTATTCGACGCTTGGCTTTGTCAAAAGGCTTAAAAGTGCTCAATGAGCTGGCAAATACTAGACTAAATTAAGCCAAAAAGTTTGTGAGAATATTACGCAATGCATAATTTTCGGCGCTTGGGAGCTGAATACTAATGCCAGCGTTAATAATTACTATTTAGTTATGCAAAGTGCGCAATTTCACACAATAAACTAAAGACTTTCGCAAAACAAGCGCCACCAACTGCAGTTACACAGATAACAATGGACGAAAATGAGCAAAACTAAAGCAACAAATAAACAGTGACAGTACTAAGTCGCGCTACAAAAACACAAACAAACGCAATATTCTATGCGCAGCGGTATTAACGCAGCTCATAAACGACTTAAAGTTTACGGCCTTAAATGCTTCCCACGTACCTCGGCGCACACACACGCACACGTATAGAAGTACTCGGTGCTGAGGTGATAGTGAGACTCCTCGAATTTTCACGCACTTACTAATTCCGGCACTTATGCCGGCTCTACTGTTTGTTTTATGCAATTTTATATGCCTCTTCTTTTAGTCACAACTTTTTCTCTTCTCTTTAATCCGCAGGTGGTACATGCCATGGATCGCACCTCACGCGCCACCGATTATCGTTTCATTAAGGAGCCAAATGGTGCGCTCACCATTACAAATGTCATGCTCGAGGACGATGGCAAGTGGCAATGCGAGGCGGAGAATTCGCGCAGATATACGGAGAATGCGAGACCCGTCAAATTGGTAGTATTAGGTGAGTATCAAAGTGAATTATGTTACGTGCTGTAGAGTAGGAAAGAAAGTGATGCTGAATATGCTAAAGAAGCAGATATTCAAGTTGAGTAATTGCTATACGAGAGAAGATTGTCGCGGGAGATACACGTTTTTGCTAATACCAGCGTAACGGCCGCTAAGTAGTCATCCGCGTGGATTTGATTACGCCATTTTAAGGTCGGCCTAAATTACCGAATTTTGGGCGAATGTTTGTTTGTCGATTGCACTGACAGAAATGTTATGAATTTGTTGTAAGCAATGAACTGATTGTTCTTTTCTCAGCGATACTTTCGCGAATTCAACTTATGATATATGGGAATAATGCGCAAAAATGCGCTGAATTGCGCTGAATTCGAGAATGTAGTAACTTAAAAATAATATTTCGAGAAATGTACTCAAAGATTATTTCCAGCCACTCATTATATGCCCGCTGAATTGCTATGATTGTACATTTCTCAATGATATTTTTGCGAATTTAGCTTATGATATATATAAGTCATGTAAATGCGCTGAGCTGCGCTGAATACAAGAATACAGCACTGACTGAATTGTTATAAATCTGTTGTAAGCGATGAACTGGTAGACTTTTCTCAATGATATTTTCGCTAATTCAGCTAACGATATAAACAAGTGATATGCTGAATATCGCTGAATACATAAACAAAGTAATTTCAAAATTCTAAAGCTTATTGCCAGCATCTCATTGCATGGCGGCTGAATTGCTATTAAGAAAAATATTTTTACTTAATTGTAAAGATTGATGTAGTGCATATGGCCTTGTAAAACGCTATATACGTTATGGAAATGAACATTAAAATGCTAAACTTTTTCTGAAAGAACCTTTTTGGGATAAGCTGAATAGCTGAATGCATGTTAAGGTCGCTTAATAGTTATGAAAATATGTTTATAGTATCATATTTCTTACTCTACAAAAAAAAAACGGGCAGGTGCTGAATTTACTTGAATTTCAACAAGAGAGAGATTTAATATGTGACTAACTTTATGTTTCCTTTTTAAGCAGCATAGTAAGGGCAATCAGGCTCATTTTTCTGCGAAAACAACAGTTTTTAATTAAAAATATATTTTTTATGAACAAATTCTTTTGTCGAATTTTACTAATCCTGCACAAAATCTGTTGCAATGTATTCAAAGACACTATATTTTTAGCTCAGCTTCGAAACAGTCCCTTTAACCGACCTCAATCTCTCATGCTGACTGCTGTGGCTGAATGAAATGACCTGAAATTAAAAGTTAGCTACAGCGTGCACTTTGGCGCCACTTGGTGCTGACTTCTGTCCGGTCAACGCTTGTGCCACCGCGTAGAGCTGACGAGCATTTCTGTTGTTGTTAATGACATAAATAGCGCGGCAAAGGACATGCCAGCACCAACGAGCGCACCCATACACATTTTGTTTCGAATACAATTGAGCTGTGCCGGCATGTTGCGAAAACTTTGCTTGTTCAAGTATAAGCTGCAAAATGAGACTAAAAAAAGGGAGAAAAACATGAAAAGTTTTTCCAGTTTGTGTGCCGAGCTGTCATTCAGCAGAGTTAGTAAAAATCAGGGGTGTCTAAATGAATGGCTGGCTGGATTCAGTAGCCGCATTAAGCGCCTACTTGTTCCCTCTCTTTTTCGCGCTTCCCAGAGCTTCGAAACAAATAAACAACAGCAACAAAAACGGCATCACCAAAGCCCTGAAAGTTTGAAAACTTGTGGATTGCAAACGAAAAAAAAAAAACCTTAAATTAAAAGTAAGCCATAAAAACTTTTTAAATGACCAAAAATTATACCCGAAGCTTTGCTATAGCTAACTCAGCAGGATTTATGGTTGACATACTTTTGGGCGCCTGTCAATATTACACACCACTGCCGCTGGCTTTCCTCCATGTAACTTATGAGTGTCTTCTTTTCTAGCCTCATCAAGCAAATCCAAAAAGATACGCTTCCAAAACTTTTCTTTCACTGATTTTACATTCCTAATTTCCTTCTTTTAATTTTTAGACAAACCTTTGCTGTTATTGTAGCAATAAAGTAGCGTTCAAACTGAAATTTCAACTCCAATTAATTTTGTGTAATTTTAATTGCTCGTAGATCGCCCGAAGCCACCGTATTTGTTGATCGATTCACGGCGCCTAGATGCAGGCAACATTTTTGTACCGGTCAAAGAGAATTCCGAATTGAATTTGGCCTGCGTGAGTGAAGGTGGCAATCCCAAACCGACACTCACATGGGAGGTGTTACTCAGTCCGGGCGTGGATCGACATGCGCAGAAAGTGTCCGCTGAAGTATTGGAACTGGAAGAAGTGAAGAACGACAAGGTAAGTAGGGGAATAAATACTATAAATGAATTAGTGAATATGCTGGCAGAGTAATGAAGTATAGAAGGAGGTTGATAGATATTAAGATTACTGAATTGAAATGTTGGCCGCTGAAAAGTTTGAAAAATCGAAAGTAAAAAAAACTGTGAATTGAAAGGTGGACCGCTGAATAACATATTTTCTCCATTTAAGCTATTTTTAAAGTACCCTTAAACATGTTACGTTGAAATTTATGTGCTGAATTGAATTACTTACAGTTGAATCGTTACCGAAACTCCTGAATGTAAAGAGGTATGCTTATAATCTTTTAGTAAGTAATTTTACTTTTAGCCTTTAGCTGATTTTGAATAGAACATTATAGTTCTCTATTCGAAATTTTGTCTATTTATGGTCGAATAAAGAGACAGAATCGCTAAATAAGTTAACAGTTTACTCTACAGACAGTTAAATATGACTTTCATTAGGTGTTTGAAAGTTTGTTAGAGTTTTGCTTTAAAAAAGCATTTGCTGTATACATGTTTGAAAGTTCTGCATTCGTATAAAATATTAACTAATCAATTAATATTGTGCTGAATTGAACTTTCTGCGCTGAATTGAAATTTTTTTTACTACAAACATTGCTGCAGCGAAGGATGCAAAACATATGATCAGTGTCCGCTGAATTATCTATTATTGGCAAATATTTTCGCTCTATTTTATTACTTAGCCTAACGATTTAAATGAAAGATATTTGAAATAAATTATAAACTGCAAAAATATACAAGAAAACTAGTTGCTGAATTCATATTCAAAGCACTGAATTTCCATAAAATATATATTTACCAATTTACCAAAGTTGTGCTGAATTGAGTTTTCTGGCGCTGAATTGAGCATCTTTTACTATTAAAATTGTTTTGATAAAAAATACAGAATCCGTGTTTATTAAGCGCTGAATTATTACATATTTGCAACTTTTTTCTCTCCATTTTAATGCTTAACGTACCAAACTTAACATATTGAAATGTGTCAAAAGCTGCAAAAATACACAAGAAAAATAGTTGCTCAATTCCTATTCAAAGAAAAAGTCTGTAAAATATATATTTTTACTAATTAAAGTTTTGCTGAATTGGGTTTCCTTGCGCTGAATTGAAATAAACACAAAACTGTTTCGAGGAAACATGCAAAATCTGTAGTTAGTGTGCGCTGAATTATTACTTATCTACAGTTTTTTAAGTGCTTTGTTTAGCGAATTAAATTCAGCTATGTGAACCTAAGTACTAAAGCAGCACTAAACTTTTTACATTAAGCTTCTGTATGCACATATGTAAATATAATATATATAAATCTTAGTATATTTTTATAGCAAAAACACAGAATGTATTGCTCCCTTCATTTTATATATATATATTTATGTAAGCATTTCATATATTCGCTTTACTCATACGCAATGTCGCCCCCCACAGTCTACCCCATTTTAAATCAGACTGCTTCAAATTACATGCTCTTAATTGTTGCTTTTGTTAGCGTCTTGAATATGCAAAAAACCGTACAATTTCATTGTAGAAGTTGGAAATTTAAATTGCCAACATCTAAGTGGCAATATAGCACTTGAATGAACTAACAACCGCACCAGAGGCTGTATGTACCACCAACTTACGACCGGATGTGCAAATTGCAAAAGCAGTTGCGCTTACTAAACGCATGCAAAAAGCTGAAATGAAGAGATTGTGTACTAACTTCTACATAAATTCATAAGTACTTGCTTCGATGTATGTGTGTGTATGCGTAGAAGCATCGTAGCCGGAGCCGTCGGTTGTTGCGAATCATTTGCCATTATCGGTGCTGAATGCAGTTGATGGATATATGGCCACATGGCATGTCAATAAATATGGAGGATGTCCGTTACTTATACTTACGCCAACACATAAGCATTCACATGACTGTGTGGGTGTGTGTATACGAGCATATACGCGCCTGTGCCTTAAACTATCATGTCCGGCTAGTTATTACTTTGCGTAGCTGTTCGTGTTAATATATGGTATAAACTTTAAATTGCCATGTAAATGTAACAAATTTTCGAGAAAATTTTATGTCCGTTATGTCCCAGTTAGTGCGGATTCAATGGCTGACTGGTTATGGTTATATTTATTTTATAATACAACAATGTAAATAGCGAGCTGTGCGGCAATGTGTGCGTGTATTTATTGTCACATATAACTAGCAAACAAAGGATATAATGTGATATATAAGTTAACATACATATGTACTACAAGCCATGCAGAAAATATTACTCAAGGAAGTTGTTGTACGTTATTATAAAATCTCTTGCGAGGATTAAAATTTTAATCCACATTAACTTACATGTACAAAATTGTGTAAAAATAGCGCGCTGAATAACATTTTATGTTGCTGAATAGACTTTAAGTATGAAATCATCTGTATTTCATTTGTCACTACAACTATTGGAAATGAAAAATGTGTGCTGAATTCGATACTTAAACGGATGAGTATATTTTTAACGTCTTAACTCAAATCAATGCAGTGTCTTTAAATTAATGTAAAATAATGGTGCGCTGAATATCATTTTATGTTGCTGTATTAAGATTAAATTGTATCATATATCCGTCTCCCTTATAATTACAAATATTGGATTTCAAAAACGTGGGCTGAATTTGTTACGAAATCACCGGAGTATTTTTTTGTTATTGTAGGTTAAATGTATAATAAAGAGTCTTTTAAATTGTGTAAAATCATGGCACATCGATATTATGCAGTTGTTAAATGCATAAAACAGCGGAAAACATTTGCTGAATTATAGTAAAGCTTCAATATGAATATTTTAGAGCGCTGAATAAGGTTGTATAGATGTAATAGAGTAATATTTACGCAATTTTTATTTAGAAGTGTGCGCTGAATTCAAAATTTAATGCACTGTAAAATACATATGCAGCTGAACTCAATTATAGTGTTTACGCGTGTTTAAAGGAAAACATGTTATTAATTTGTATATGAACACAATGCACAGTATTTTCATTATTTCAAGTTCCTTTGAGGCGAATTAAATCAGCACTTTATATTACATAAGCGAATAAGCGATTAGGTTATATTTCGTAGATATAGCTACAACTAAACTTGCAGACAAATGTTTTTTGTCGAATATGCTTGACAAGTGCTGAATTGAAAAGAGTATTAAATGTTTTATATTGAAAAAAAGCTTTAGTAAACGTTTTTAGCATCTGAATAATGTGTAAAGACGTTTATCATAAGAAATATTAGAAACTTATAAGATTGTTGTCACAAAGAATATGTACTTATATGTGCTAAATTAGTTTTTTTTTGTAGCTGAATAGCATAGTATTAATTAATCATAATAACATTTCTTAAATGTGAATTATTGCTAACCTTAATTTGTCTGCTGAATTGATATTGAATTTGCTGAATTTATATTTTTACATTTAAACCCCCTTTTTTTTATTTATTAAAAATTCCGGCATGCCTTTTTGATCCATATTTATTTACACACAAGCCACCTAGCTCATATTCAAGCTGATAGACAGCTGAATGGACAAGAGCCAAGCAGAGTTGAATGGACGTCGCCGCAACGTGGTTTTTTTGCGCATATAAAGGGTTAACTCATAAATGAAAGTGCACGTACTGGGACTTAGAAACATAAGGACATGTATGTAGTAAGCAAAACTGACAGTCGACCTTGTATGTGGCATGTTTGACTCCTAAATATATATAATATAAGTATGGTTATATAGTGGCATATAAATATTAATGTAAAATCATATATTTGCATTAGTATATGTGCGGTTATCCATGAATTTGTCTCTTGATTCTATACATAAATGACTATACAAAGCGACTAATTTGCATAGTATCATATATATATTGCATGCCACCGAAGGAACCTAAAAGCAGACGTGCAACATATGAGAGCTTTAACTTTTTTTTAATGAAAAGGAGAGGTTTATAGAAAATAAGTAAAAGTTTGACTTAAATATACGCATATGTATATGTAGTCATGTGTTTGCGTATATTTTTTTTACTCAGCTAACCGCTGAATCTGTGCTTGTTGCTTTCAATATCCCTTAAGTTTTATAAGCTCGTCCACCAATGACCTCTTTACAGCGTATTTTGCTTATATTTCATTTAATTATTGTTAGAGAACTTTTAATTGAGCCAAAGTATATGCTAAGCTGATGTATGGGGAAAATATTTCTATTAACAAAATTTCTATGAGAATAGTTTATTAATGCTTAATATATCTAAATAGAAATTTATTGCTTTACTTTGTATAATTTTTACTTGCTTAGATATTAACTCATTAGTTTTCATGGCTTACCACTTCATTACTTTTCCATTAACACACACTGTTGCCGCTGAAACAGACAATTAAAGCGCTTGCTTTTGTATGAGTGCACAGCTATATATACATGTACATATACAGTTAGACGTATATATACTATGTGCCTAAGCATTTCACGCTACTTGTTAGCTGTCAGTTAGCAACGTTTTGCTACGTGCAACAAATCATTTGGCATACTTGGCCACAAATCTGTGGCAAGGACGCTGTCTGGACAAACGTTGTCTTGACAAGATGTTCAAGTCAGAATCTCAATCCGGTTCAATGAATTTACTAATAAATTATATAAATATATACATATTATATTTTGGCATCTAAAGGTTACTGACCCATCGGTGATCAATAGCTAAAGTCCGTCAACTCAAAAATAGCGCACTCGCTCAGCAAATTTCTTACCTAAAGGCGAATGAACCGATAATTTGGATTTAGAATTTTTATAAATAACGATGCTTGCTACGAGAAGAGAGTCATCATGTGTTGCCAGATATTCCGGTATTTTCAATTTTCTTTCCCTTCCAACGGAGTGGAGCTCTTCGTCTTCCTCTGCTTCCCACGGCGGGTACAGCGTCGAATATTCTCAGAGCTGGAGTGTTTTCGTCCATCCTGACAACATGACCTAGCCAGTGCAGCCGCTGTCTTTTTTAATTCGCTGAATTATACGTCATATTTCTTATACAGCTCATCGCTCCATCGAATGCGATATTCGCCGTGGCCAACGCGYAAAGGACCATAAATCTTTCGCAGAACTTTTCTCTCGAAAACTCGCAACGTTGACTCATCTGTTGTTGTCATCGTCCAAGCCTCTGCACCATATAGCAGGACGGGAATTATGAGTGACTTATAGAGTTTGGTTTTCGTTTGTCGAGAGAGGACTTTGC